GCTTGTAACTGACTATTAATGGATTCAATATTGAAATCAGACAAAAAAAGAACAGTATCATCAGCATACATTAAAATATTTGAATACTTCAATATTTTTGGAAGGTCATTTATGTATAATAGGAAAAGCAATGGGCTTTTCTTCTGACTTAGCTGGAAAGTGGTACTTTCTGTTTTTCAAAGCATTTCTTAAACAAAATTAATCTGTCCCAACACTTTCTTCTTTTAATTAATTGATGTGAAGCATCTTTCTGTTTTCTGTTTTCTTTCCCCGACAGAAATAACAAAGACAGAAAACGTGTCTCTGAGTCAGCCAAGTGGTGGTTAAAAGACATTTTTATTTTCATTAAAGTGACGAGTCTCCTGAGGACGGGGGTCAGTATTTACCACGCTGAGCTCACATTTTTTTGAGYGAATCCTCCTGCCAAAAATACCAAACGGCGGCTCCTGTGCGACCAGAACCGATGAGCCGTGATGGTGCCGCCTGCTCTCCGAGTAAAAAGTACCAGAGTCAACCTTTTCGTCACCTCTTTRCATGAGTTTTTCGTGCAAAGCAGATGGGGAAGAGCAGCGTCTTTGACACGCCTGTAGAAGAATTTGAGCTTGAAATTACAGAGTAGACGCATGTTTAAAAGAATCACATTAAATGCTTCTATATGTAGTGAGCGTGAATAAAAAGGTAGGCCTCTGGGAAATCAACACTGAGGAGAAGATTATGAATTAGGAGTAGAAAAATATGAAGCTTTAGCAACTGAAGTGTCAGTAAAACTGACTCCTGGTGATAAATATGTAGGAGTTCAGTAGCGTGCACAGACATTTTCGGGGGCAGGTGCTCAAATGTAAAAAGAGGGCACCTTGTCCGGTGACATTACAGACACATCTTGTACATTGTGCATATTTATCTATTTTAAATCAGATTTTGTTCTGTCTGATACAGATGTTTAATATTCAACACTCTACAGGTTGGTTTCTGTAACAAAATGACAACAACAGAACAAAAACCAGTAATGACAATTTTTGTATAGTTTATAAAATAACTATAGTTTATTTCCTCAAAATTACTAATAGCTTTTTGTTCTATGGAGGGTCTTCCTTCAGCCATAGAGCTGTTTCCATGATCTGAATTCTAACAATTCAGCTTCGTCTGTGTCTGACAGAGGAAGGCAGGAAAACATAGAGCTGCTTCTTTGCTGTAGCTAAAACACCAACAATATGAAATATGTTTATTTGGGTGAAACGACTTGGTGACAAAGGTCAGTGCAATAAATTACAACATTTAAACTAATCAGACTCTAAATTACTGTCAAAATGTAACACTAACAGGGGGTCGAATTCACAAGTGGGCGAAA